CGGGGGCGGAGCGGGGGCGGAGAGGGGGCGGAGCGGAGGCGGAGCGGGGGCGGAGCGCGTGCTCCTGGCACTCACCCAGCATCCCCACGGGCAGCTGCGCCGGCGCCTCCTGTCGGTTGCCTAAGACGCTCTGCGTGGCGATCCACAGGTAGTTGTCCCCTGCAACACAACGCGCACCCTCTTGCACAAACCGCGCGCTTCGCTCGCACCTCGCTAGAGCTCTGGGTAATTAAGGCAATTTCTACGATGACATTGTATCGTAGAACTGAAATTATGCACATGCCCTTTTCGCTTTATACAAATAAATGCACCATTCTTTCATGAAACATGCAAGGAATTTCCATATGTTCACCACGTTACTTGGGAACCACTGCCGATGAGAATATCCTCAAACATTTATTCCTTGAACGTGTACATACAGTAATAAACTGACAATCTAATCTTAAAATATGCAATATTTGTGAAACATTATTTTTCCCTCTCCAATTTTTCCGTTCCTTTCCATTCTACGGTTCATGAACTTGTCCTAACTAGAGAAAGTAAAATTATAATTCAGGAACAACACAAATTTAGTTTGTCAATTGTCTCAGAATAATCCCACCTGGACGACTAAAAGGTAGAGCAACAGAATAAATATTCGATTTGCGGTAGGGTGTTGTGCCGTGCGGGTAGTCGGGACCCGTATAAGCAGGTAACGAAAATCTAACCTGCTCCCATACAAACGGGTATCATACGGGTCACCCTGTTACCAAACGGGTCGCTGGTATTATATGCGACCCTGGTATTTTACGGGTCACCGGGATCATTCTGTAGCTTCATATAAATGGGGAGAGGTAGTGACTGAGACTGTAATTGCAAATTGATGTTCGAAAACAAAGGCAGAGGGACAGACGTCTCGGAGCAAATCGACGTTTCGGTACCAAGAGCAAACATAACAAAACATGTTTTTTTTACTACAAAACGTATTAGAGGTAGTAATTTATTAATAGGAACAACCTTAATCACAATACGTTCTCAATTTACTTCGTATGAAGAGAAAATATTGGTAAGCAAAAAGTGGATAAATCTTGATTATATCACGTAACTTTAGCACCTCCTTCAATTTTTGAAAAGTTGAAGTTATTGCAATGCAGTTTTCACGGAAGTGCATGACGGAATATGGCTGAATGATGTATATATTCATTTCTCTTTGAACACTTGTATTTTACAGTATGTTGAGGTATTGTTTTCGAATGGAACGTAATATATTTGGTTTATAATGACGAGATTACTCTTCTTCCCCATACCTCACACACAGTTTTTACCGTTTTTGACGATGGATAAGTTTAATTTAATGACCTTAAATCCCCACTCTTACGTTCGCAATCTTATTATGATACCTCTGAAAGGAAAAAAAATATCTACAAAGTCAGACATTGGTTTCAAATAATATTCATTCATTCATACATTCGAGGGTATATTTACCGAATGTGCTTCTAAGGACTGTGCTACGGATACACGATTATTTAATGAACGAGAATCACAGCACGAAGTTATGCATCAATATATGTAGACACAGAAATTTCTTACTTCGAGATAAACTGGATCAAGAAATATAAAAATCAGTGCAATTTTTGTGGGGATAAGCAAAGCAACCGAGAACAAATAACCGGCAACGCGTGCTTCAAAACTGTACCTCTTCCTCACCGAAGCATTTGCAAAATTTGAGGCACCCGATGCTTTTGTTCTTAGATATCACGCACTTGGGTGGTGAGGGTGTTGTATCAGAGTGCACGATAAACTGACGACGAGAACACGACATCGATTAAACACTTCCCATCGACGTTACACTGAAAACAAACAAATTTATTGACGTTTATATCTGCTGCCACGTTCCCAAAGTTAGTCTCTTCATCGAATCATTTTATAGATAAGAAAAGGGATACGAACGCAGCAGTAAAATAATCTAACGTTTAGGAAGTGATATTTTCCGTGATATGTGAGGTTTCAAAGAAAACTATTGTAGAAAACTATGGCTTTACCGGTGAGAAATGAGAAGTGTTCGTTGCAAACCGCTTCTTGGGGAAAGCTACGGGTGACACGTGAGAACAGTTTCAGCCAAAATTTTGCGGGGGAGGTCATCAGACATGTGAGACGTCAAAGGTTTCCGTAATATACAACGCACGTTTCAAACTTATCACCACTTTCTCAAAGGCCCATTCACAGAATTTGAGTCACGGCAATATCCCTTTTCTTTTATTCTCACATTCCACGCTACTGCGCTTGAGAGGGTCCGGCGAGACGCGGGCAGCGACACGAACAATCTTACCGGTGAGCTTGAGGCGCTCGGCCTCGGCCAGGATGCGGATGGCCTCCTCCCGCGTCGAGTAGAGCAGCAGCACGCGCGCCTCCGAGGCCGCGAGCGGCGCCAGGTCGCTGGGGTCCGCCACGATCACCGTGTCCAGGATCAGCAGCCTGCGCACACACACGCGCGCGCGCACGCGCGGTCTCTGTCAGCCACCAGCCAGGCAACAGGCCGCGTTGGGATGTAGGAAAACACGGCGAGACCTGGGTACGTGGGAGATGGGGAAAAGTGGGACTTCGAAAGGAGGGACCTGGGAAAGAGGGGTCCGGGATCAGTGGGGACGGAATCAGAGGAATCTCAATGAGAGGAATCTGGATAAGAGGAATTGGGAGAAGAGAGATCTAGATAATAAGAATCTGTATAGGGGTCGGAATCAGAAGGGCAGGGATCCAAGGCGTCGAGATCAGAGATACGTATCTAGGAAATAGGGACCTACTACGTAAGGTGTATCTGGATAAGAGGGATTGTAGATAGAAATTCCTTGAGGTATAACACTCATGTAATGTATGACACCATATACAGGAATACACACCAACTAGGGGACACCCCCATAACTTCTTAACAATTCACGATATCGAAATGCAGTTATCGCTCAACAGTGCGGAATCATGAGGGCAAGTAATATGACGTAGTGATATTGTTTTCAAGAAATTCTATTATTTGTGATAATTTAAACGGAACTGTGTATTTTTCACAATAGCAGTAGATGTATCATAAAAAGAGGAATGGAATGGTGTAACATATGTTAAACTTTCGAAATATTAACATGCGTTATATCGTTGCATTTCTCTTTTTATTATCTATTGCTAGTGAGAAAAATGTATGGATCCATTTAAAAGAATCAAAGATGATTAAAGTTTCTCGAAAACTAAAATTTGAACTCAAAATTTGTTGGTCATTCAGTATTGCACATAGTTGCAGGCGTCTCCGGCTTCGGTGGGTCTTCGTACCAATTAGAGCACGAGTTTGGCACTTCAATGGCGGTACAGATCTGCCAGGGGAGGTAACTACACATCTTGTAGTGTCTTTTCAATTATTAGGTCTTTGCTACAATTGGACAAGCTGAGATAATGATCAATAGTTTCTACTCGTTCCTAGCAAATACGGCACTTATCATTTTGGTAAATTGTGCGAACCGTTTTATCATATTGTAGTGTTCTCAACGCCTGATCTTGGGCAGCTATTAGAACTGTTCAGATTCTGGCCGCATTCTTCCTTTTTAAGCCGCATAAATGATTGAACTTTGTTGATTTGCCTTGTCCATTCTTTTTAGATGTTGATAATGATATATTTGTCTCTCCGTGATTTTTGTAACATTGTGTCTCATGTTTCATGTCAAGTAGCATCTATTTAAACCCAGTTTAGTATAGTCCCATCATGAATTTTGAATTCATCCCACGATTTCGTTCCTTCATCTTCGCTGAGCAACTCTGTAGCCAGATTCAAACAGTAAGGCAAGCTTCAATTTCGGGAATGAAAAATGGAATCTAAGGTTTGATGGACGAGGAAACACATGTTCGCGCCTTCAGCGGCAGTCGCACCGACAGTCTCAATTTATCGTGTCCGCGAAGACGACAATTTGATTAAAAGCAGTTGGTGATTGACACTTGTGAGTGGAAGGGTGAGATGGTGCCAGGTTGCGAACCACTACTATGCACGCATTTTCGAGACACGAAAAACGCCACTTAAAATATTGCACACTTGCTACAAATGTGACACAAGCCATAACGTCAGGCTTTCAATAAATTACGAAAAACGTTTGTCACAAATTTTTCTTCACTAATGAGAATCGTTATATAACCGGGATCGAATGTTATTTTAGTTATTTCTAGCATTATCCCCAAAGAACTGCACTTTGTTTTAGTTACGTCTCTTTTAGTGTCTTTGACAGACACATAGTCGTTGATTACCTTGAGTTCTGACACTTTTCAAGAATGAAACGTATACCTATGTCACTTCTGATATTAAATTGATCCTTATTGATGTTTTATTTCGAATCAAGTAACATGCGCGTATCACTATCTGACCTTTATGCAACATCATGAATGTCATTTCTATCGCCTTTAGAACTGCTAGTATGTGAGTATATTCTTAAAAAGTGACACAACTCAAACTGACACACCTGAGAAAGTTAGAAAATATTTCTTTTAAAGTGAAGCAACACAGAATATCAACAATACATCATCCCAAGAAATGCAATTCACACTACAATCAACAGCTACTTGTTTACTTGCGAAAGGTAACAATGGTTCAATCAGAAAATAACGAACTCTTTATTGCCAAAGCACAGAAATGGAACATTTCAGTTTATTCATTAAAACTGACGAAAAAGGAATTCCATGACCTGATTCTTGAAAACTGCATAATCCAAATTATTTAACCGTTTTACACTTACCTCGCTCAACTAAAGTGACTCAAAAAGAAATATCATGCAGGTTTTATCGTGATTTCAACCCAAAAGACAGACACAATTCAAAATAACAGTTTTGTACTTCTCAACGACCCGTTCGCTGCGTAATTCACTGCTCAACTATCAATGCTGCGCTTTTGTATTTATGAGCACGATTCTACACCGAATAAGCAAAGCAACACAGCCACACACCACCGGCCGTATCATGAAGTTACAGAACCACAATTTTGATGACTGCTCAAGTGCCGTTTCAGCCACTGTGTCTTAGTAACACTCGGAAATGAAGATTTTTGAGATGTGTCAATTTTGTAGCAAGGTAGCGACATCCATTCACTTACAAATGTAACGAAATCACATACTCAGACAGTATGAATGAAAGCAGATAGATAATAGCTTCTTCTGGAATTACTGCTCACCACATTAAGTTTATTAAACTTTATCGAACAGTTGTTTTACATTTTTTAGATGAATAAATATTTCCTTAAAAAATACATGGTACTCTATAAACAAAAGATGCATCAACCACAAATACATTCTACAGAAAATCACTATTGATCACATTTAACTACAAGAAACCTAATTCAAGATATTTATATAGAATATGAATGGTGCTGACTTCACTGCCATTATTGTTTTGAAGAAATATTTACTCGTTCAAGAAATAATCCCAAGTGGCTACTGAAACGAAACGTATGTAAACACAAGTAGAATCTAGTTTACCACATGTTTACCCATAGTAAAGTTAAATAACGATGCCCGAAAACAGTTGCTAAGTACCATAAGACCCTTAAGAAGAGTATTTGAAAAAATAAGAGAGATTTCTTTCTACTGTCAATACTGTGAGGTATGAAAAAAACAGTACTTTTCATCTTCTTTAAAAATTAATAAACGAAGCGAATGTATTTTCCACGGAGCAAAATTTAATAACTTGCAAATGTGCATCTATCTCAAAATGAACTGAACCTCATGAATACCATTCACAAAATTGAAAAGCTGACAAAAAGCATGACACACCTCGTCGACGGAGGCCCGAATTGAAGGAAATGAAAGTATAATTAAGTACCCCAAACCAACATAGTAATGCTGGGTGTGCATTGTTGAACTTTCAGACTGCGATATAGTATTGTTTTATTTTATTTATGGATCGATTTATATATTTATTTATTAACGGGAAACTTGCAATCTGTGCACGTTTTTCGTGAGCTCCGGAATCCCTACACGAGCTCTTATAATACTACATTATATTGAATTATGAATAAACGAGCAACGAGATGGCCGTCATTTCGACGGGTATTGGGTTTTTCCCTAATATCTTTGACTTTCTATCAGTGAAAATAGTATGTAAAAACGTCGTCATTGTTACACCCAACACTCACTATCCTAGATACTATACGGATTCACTTGAAATTTTACTAACTGGTACTACAACCCCACACAAAACCCAAATTTTGAAGTGCTGGGGAATATTATACATTTTAGAACAGAGAATTAGTTTTAGAGACGTTTCGTATCAGGACCTTACGTGAGCTCTGCGCCTTCCGCGGGCGAACCGTTTCATGGGCAGCGCTAGGAAGTTTCCGAGACGTCTGTCAACGAGTGTCAGATAACGTAGTTAGATCAAATCAAAGGGATCGATCAAATCAAACATCGTATCTGTGAGTTCCTTTCTATTTAGAAGGGTAAAGTGATATATGTTATTATTATTATTATTATTATTATTATTATTATTATTATTATTATTATTATTATTATCATTATTATTATTTGCTAGATACCATTATTTTACCAAAATTATTCTATGGCAAAAGTAATTTTTTTATGTTCATTTCAAATTCATTTAATTATTTTATTCATTAATTTCATTCTGATCTCGGAAACACTGTGATCCTAAAAAGCATATTCTTGCATAATTAGAATCTTTTCACAGAACTTTCCGTCCTTCCGAACCTGCTCCAAAACAACTTTTCTTGGCCCTAATGCCCTCCAAGGCAATTGACACCCTGATGACAGACCCACTGCGAGCGCCGACAGCGGCGATGTAACGGTGAAAGAGGCGGCAGATGTCTGCGTCGCGGCAGCCAGTGAAGGCAGGAACGTTCCGAATACTAATTGTTGCAAAAATACTAAGTAAAGTGCTTCATAGCACTTAAAATTTACTTACATGGATTTACATGGTGGTGAACAAGCTGGTAAAATTTCATCTCAATCCAAGTATACAGCACAGTTGTGTTGTGTACATTGCATCAAACTGTAACTATTGTTGAAAAGAATTCCAAGAAATGTCCAGGGACTGTTCAATTTTGTAATGAAATGAAATGTTTCGTTGACATACTAGATCAAATAGGGCACTTGTATACTGTGAAATTCGGGTGAAAAAGGTGGACAATGGACGTACTTAATGTTCTGGATATGGTGGCCATTAATGCATGTATATTATTCAGAGAGACCTGGAGAGAACATATACCGAGATTATTTCTTCAAATTATCAGAAGATATGTTTACATCTGCCTACGTAACAAAAATAAAGCAAAATCTTCCCCGACAAATCAGCACCCTTCTGAGTAACCACATTCGCAAAACCTGCCAGGTAGGAGGATGTAAAGGCAAGAACAGGTGTATTTCCGTTGAAATCTCGAAATCGATTTTCCTCAGCATTACATATCTCTCTCAATACTACGTATATTACTCCGCATATACATACCTACGCGAGACAATAACGAGTGGTGCAACCGAATGGCACAGAGTTTCTCGTACTAGTTAGTTTCCTAATTTCTTTAGTCTGGTCGAGCTTTTCGGTCTTATCGCTTACTCTGGCCATCTGCCATTTATCGCCGCCAAAACTACATTTTTTTTACATTTTCTCAATTGTAACACAGACAGACAGAAGACAGACATTCACAAGACAGACAGAAGACAAACTGACAGATAGACAGAAGACAAATAGACAGACAGAGACAGAAGACAAACAGACAGACAGAGACAAACAGACACAAACAGACAGAGACAGACAGACGGAGACAGACAGACAGAGACATAGATAGAGACAGATAGAGACAGACAGAGTCAGATTGACGGAAAGAAATAAAAAATACTTTTTCTGTATTAGGGGACTCCACAACGTATTTTAGTTGAAATCTTGAAA